TGACTCGTACGCTGGCCATTCCTGCAAATAAAGCTTGTTTCCGTGTGCTATAGGGTCACGTCTGCATTTGACGCTCTGTCTGCAGAACTCGATGTGTGTTTTAGACTTCAGCGTGTCATTCTGTTGATGTTTCTCTCTCTGTTGTGTTTCTTCAGGTTCAGTCTGCTGGATTTACTAAGAAGTTTAAGAAGAACAATAAGAAGAAGGGTTTTAAACGTGTCGGCAGAGTCAACGGAAAATAATAAAGTCTTTAATTGACTCAGATTGTGATCTTTGCTGTTGTTGTTTCTGGGAATATCAGATGCATTCATATACAGACATTCAGTTCAATTCATCTTTATTTCTCGAGCGCTTTTACAATGTAGACTGTGTCAAAGCAGCTTCACATAGTTCAGATTTCAGAGTTCAGTTCAGTCCAAACACTGAAGAGCAAATCCAGCCATGTGCAGCTCAACAAGTCCTGATCCGAGCAAGCCAGTGACAGTGGAGGAACAAACTTCACCAATTGATGAAGTGAAGGGGAAAAACCTTGAGAGAAACCAGGCTCTTATGGGCTTGACCATTATTTTTCTTGCCTAAACTTGCTGTTTGGAGCTGCAGTTTAGTCGCTGGAGAAGCTGGATATCCATCGTGGAGAAGCTGCCGGTGTAAGTGGGTGACCAGACTGGCCCACAGGATCAATGCGGGGACTCGGTTGTCACGGTGGTGTTTCAGGAATCAGTCTCATGCTCTCCACTCCTCCATGACCACCACAGCATCAGCTCTGGATACGGCCTGGTCCGGGATTATGGACACCTTGTGATCATCTCTTCACAGGTCTTGGATCATCAGTGGCGCTGCGTAGTCTGAGGGCTTCAGGATGAGCATCCCCAGGTGGAATTAGAGAATAAAGAGAATTATTAGCGTAGCTGCTGACCATAGTGTTAATAAACGACATGCAGAAATGAGTTATCAATGAAAATAGCAGTTATAGAAACACACGTAAAGCATATCAGAGTATCTAACACAATGCCTGGTGTATTAAGACACTGCTCGCAGAGCCACTTGGGCTCAAATGAGGGGGAGCTTGAGCTCCAATTTCTCCTCCTATAAGCTGTTTTAATGCGTACACCCACCCCTAACCCCAACCCCCAGTGACATCACTTGTAGAGGAAGTGCAAGGAAGGAGGAGCTGGAGCTCAAGCTCCCCCTTACCGGAGCTCAGCTCTGCCCAAGTGGCTCTGCAGTGAGCACCACCTGGGGAGTGTGTCCTACAGGAGGTTGTCAAGCCACTCATGCATCATCCCGAGGGTAATGCTTTACTAAACAGTTAGGTCTTTCAGACGTTCATAGTAAGAGTAGTATTAATGATCATTTCAATATATATCTATTATGTTTCTATCTTTATTTGTGCTATTATATGGAGAGTATTATATAAGAGTATATATTATACACTCTTATAAAAATACTCTTAGACTAAATACTCTTAATAATAGTATTTGAATGTAATAAACATATTTTTAACATTATAAAATGTTTATAATATGCTATATTGTTCATGTAATTATGTGATAAATTCCAGTTCAGTTATTTTCACTTCTCACTATGTTTACTATATATAATAAATAAAAAGTATATATATTTTTAAAATGTACATAAACATAATTCCAAACATGCGTGATTACAAAAATACGGATCAAAAGCATTATTTTAATCTATATATTCTACTTATTCACTGTTTATTAATAACCTATGGCATATTTAATTACTTTAGAATATTCATCAGCCAATCAAAACCAAACATTGATTTCTTTATGGCTTATTTTAATAGTGTAAAATATTACAAGCCTTAACAAGGTAACCCTCTTTCAGCTTTGCGCATTAATCCAGCACTAAATGCTGTTGTATTTTCAATATAGCTGATTGCATGTGTAAAATGAGCGTTGCAGCAGATGCGTCTGTTATATTAATGCTCGTTTATTGTCCTTATCTAATGTGGAGAATCATGGATCAATATTTACAGTGTGTTTTACAGCTAAATGAGTGTGTGTGTGTTTGTGTGCGGAGGAAGGTAAAGAGTCTGGGCTTTTCTAGCTGTTGGATTTGATGAATGTGTTTTATATTTATACATGAAGTGCATTACAGATTTATTTTGATGAATAACAAAATATCTGTGTCTGTATTTTATGTTTTTTTATGAGTAGATTTAATTAATTTGGTTTCTTTGAGAATAATAACAGTAGTAAATAATTTCAGAAATGATTTATTTATTTGTTATTTTATTTATTATGTTTATTAATATATTATCATTCAATATATTGAATTATTATTTATTAATTAGAATCATATATATATATGTGTGTTTTGGTATTAAATCATTATCATAATATAGCAATAAGTATTTAAAACATTTAGATAGATTAAATATGATTATATATGTAATTGTTTATTTTCTTTAAAAAATTATAGAATTAATATTAGCATTATATAATATACTATATTCTATTTATTATTTATATTATGACAAGGATTATTGTTGATAATAACAGTTAATAATACAATACATATAATTATGAGCAATATATATAAGTTTATAATAATAGTAAACACATTATTATTATTATTTCAACAGTTAATATAATTAATAAAAATATGATACACTTATTTATAAGTTAAATATCTGTATACATGGATATAATTACCAATAAAATATTACCGATAAATTAGTTTTTTTTTATTGCATGTTATTTAACAATTCCGTTTATATTTATTAAAATGTATATTTTACTATTATTATCATTATTAATATTATTAACAGTTGGTTATTCAACAATTATTATTTATGTTATAATAATAATTATTATTATCATTAACAGTTATTTATTTCACAGTAAAAACGTATTTTATTATTTACATTGTGTTTCTTTCACTGCATTATAAAAACTGTTCTAAATATATATGTATATTAAAAATATGTATTATAATTAATGATTTGCTGAGAGTGTACGTGGCTTGCGGGAGGCCGTTGTGCGCGTGCTCGACGCCAGTGTACGCGCGCTGCATTGTGGGACGGCGGAGGCCTTGACACACACACACACACACACACACACGGAGCGGCTCTGCTGGGAGTGTAACACACACAGATACACACACACGTGTCTGTGTTTTCCTCATATTTTGTCAGTGTGTGTGTGTGTAAAGCTGACGGTCAGTGATGGGCCAGGAGGACATGATGAGCGCGGCAGAGGACCTGGCGGACCAGGTAAGATCAAAACACACACATACACACCTCTCAGACTCTCACTCCACACACACACACACACACACACACACACACACACACACACACACACACAGAGACAGCTGCAGGAGTGACAGATCTGTACGTTATTTATTCCGCTGTTTCACTGACACACACTTATATTTACTCGTGTTTTCCTGCATTTATAGCGGGAATTGCCGTTATTTACGTGTGGAGAAGTAATTATTGTTAATTTTATGAATTAAATTATAGCAAACTTGCTTTATTATGCTTTTGTTTTCAACATGGAACTATTAGTTTGATGAATATTGGTAAACAAACCATTTTGGATTGTGTTTACGAGACACAAACACTAGTCAGTTATATGTTAGACTGTTTAGTTTATGCTAATGTAATCAGACTACTTTTAGATTACATTTAGATTACTTTTACGCTAACAATATTTGATATTGCATATGTTGGAGCGGTATAATCTGTGTTATTTTGACAGATGTACATTTATTTTCTATTTAGACCTGTTAGTTTGATGAACATATTGGTAAACAAACTATTTTTGGTCACATTGACATCAATAGTAGGGTTATAAATACTAGTAAGTGGACCAGAAACAGTTTGGATTACTGTATGGATTACTACATACACTCACACACAGCTGCAGGACTGACGGATCTGTGTTTATTCTGCTTTTTTACTGATACACATTCATATTTACTCATGTTTTCCTGATTTATAGTGCAAATTGTTGTTATTTACCTATGGAGAAAGAATGTTAATGTTAATATATTGAGTAAAAGTGTAACGTACCGTTTGCTAAGTGATGTTACTAGCTATATAATGCATTTGTTTTCTATAAAGAACTGTGAGTTTGATGAATATTGGTAAACATACTATTTTGGTCCCTGTTTATGATCATGGTAGAGACACAAACATGAGTCAGTTGTATGTTACACTGTTTAGTTTATGCTAATGCAATCAGACTACTTTTGGATTACATTTAGATTACTTCTACGCTAGCGATATTTGATATCGCATTTGTTGAAGTGGTATAATTTCTGCTGTTTTGACAGATATACATTTGTTTTCTGTCTTGAACTGTTAGTTAGATGAATATATCTGTAAACAAAGAATTTGGGTGTTATTGACTTCCATAGTAGGGTTATAAACACTAGTCAGTGGACCAGAAACAGTTTGGATAACTAGTTACTACATACACTCACACACAGCTGCAGGACTGACGGATCTGTGTTTATTCTGCTTTTTTTACTGACACACATTCTAATTACTCGTGTTTTCCCAGATTTATAGTGCAAATTCTTGATATTTACACATGGAGAAAGAATTATTATTAATATATTGAGTAAAAGTGTAGCGTACTGTTTGCTGAGTGATGTTACTAGCTATATTATGCATTTGTTTACAATATGGAACTGTTAGTTTGATGGATATTGGTAAACAAACAATTTTGGACCCTGTTTGCTGTCATAGTAAAGACCAAAACACTAGTCAGTTGTGTGTTAGACTGTTTAGCTTATGCTAATGTAATCTGGCTACTTTTGGATTACATTTATTTAGATTACTTTTACGCTAACAATATTTAATGTCACATACTGTATGTTGAAGCCTAATTTGACTGTTTTGGCAGATAAAAAGACGTTTGTTTTCTACATAGAACTGTTAGTTTGATAAATACATTGGTAAACAAACAATTTTGGCTCCTATTGACTTCCATAGTTATAAACACTGGTCAGTGGGAGCAGAAACAGTTTGACAGAGCTGGGTGGATTACTAGACACACACACACAGCTGCAGGACTGATGGATCTGTGTTTATTCTGCTTTTTTACTCACACACATTCATATTTACTCCCAGATTTATAGCGCAAATTGTTGTTATTTACCTGTGGAGAAAGAATTAATGCTAATATATTAAAAGTGAAAGTGTAACGTACTGTTTGCTGAGTGATGTTACTAGCTATATAATGCATTTGTTTACAAAATGGAACTGTTAGTTTGTTGAAAATTGGTAAACAAACCATTTTGGACCTTGTTTATGATTATAGTAGAGACAAAAACATTAGGCAGTGGATCTGACACTTAGTTTATGCTAATGTAATCTGACTACTTTTGGATTACATTTAGATTTTTACTAAATGTAATCCAAATACTTTTATGCAAACACTATTTAATGTCGCATACTGTATGTTGAAGCAGGAACTTCTAATTTTACTGTTTAGGTAGATAAAAAGACAAAAAACTAAAAACTAATACAATAACTAAACAAAAGCTTTTATCGTCCATTGAGAATAAAGGGCCTAAGACATTCAGTACATAGAAGTCAGTTAAGCGTGCGCTGGTCTGTATATTCCAGGCTTTTTTAACCTTCATGCATAGATGTGAAAGCTTCTTTAGAATAGCTATATCAGAAAAAAGCAGGGAAAGCTCTCCAGAGTATATTTGATTTTCATTTTATTTTCAAACTGTAATATCACTAAACATATAAATCAACATTTGGGCTGGACATCAGGGTCATTCTTGCAAAGTCATGCTTGTTAGCTGGACAAGGATCTCATCTTTTGGAGGTGTAGTTCCTATATTTCGTCCAGACAGCGGCTTTGGCAATTGGTTTGCTGTTTTATCTGGGCCACTTGTCCTTCGGAATCTTTGTCAGAGGCACCTTTCCTTCCTCTTACGTTTCATCTCATTGCTAACAACCGTTTTCTTAGGAACAGGGACATCCGAATACGTAAGTGAAGCTTTGTCTTTTACAATTAATGTCATTAAACCAATCAGACAGCACAACTGTAATCAGTTTCTGGCAAAACTAGTGGTCGATATTATAATCGGTTAGATTACACATTAATGGTAATTTAATCAGACTACTTTTGGATTACATTTAGATTACTCTTGTTCTAACCCTACTTTGATGTCACATATAATGAAGCAGGAAAATGTAGTTTAATGTAATTCTTATCTCTGCCATATAGATATTAGGGTTGGGCTGATAGACGATGCTATCGTCCATTGCCGATGGCCAACAGACAACACAAGGCTGAGCCGGCATCGCGATCCATCGCCCCGTCCCCGTCGCAAACCCGCTCGTGAAAAATACACACTCAGGCCCTGTTTACACTAATATGTCTTAGTATTAAAATGGCATTTTTGAAGTAAAATGATCCACATCCACACCATGTTTACCTAGCATTTCTGAACAGCCCTCCGTCCGCTGAAAATGCACATCACGTGACCACACACACACAGCCACACACACACACACACACAGCCACACGCTGTCATGCGCTCCTTTGAGCTCCAGGCAGAGAGCAGTGCACGTCGGAGAGTTTATGAACGATGTACTGCTGGATCGCGTCTCACTATAGTTGTTAAACGTGATATTCAGACATCCCAAGTCTCCCGGAAGTTCCGGGACTCATAATGCCCGCAAACGAGTGATAATCTCCCTGAAATCCCTCCCGGTCCTCAAATAAGTCACGCACCCTTCTCACTCTCGCTCTTCAGAACCCCCCCACTACTCACATGATGACGATGCCATTGTCCATCGCGATGTTTCACATTAGACATCGTACAATGCCAAATTGGTCGACATCGCCCAACCCCTAATGGATATTGCATATACTATTTTTGCAATAGCAGTAATTTGTTGATGTATTGTGCACTGGAGTGAGTTATTGGTTATATGACAATATGGATCTAAAATTATATCATGATATTTTCTAGTATTATTTCAATATCAATAATTTAAACGATAATGTATTCACTGAGAGACAAAAAAGTATCTTTATATATAAATTACCATGTTTGTAAACATTCAGGATGCACACATAAGCCCCTTTCACACAGTGATACCGGTAAATTTCTGGAAAATTTCCGGAACGACTTAACCGGTATATTTAAAAAAGCGCTGTTCACACAGGCGAGGACGTTACGGAAATTTTCCGGAAAAGAGCATTCACACATCCATTCCAAAATACCGGTAAATTCTGACATCATTCACCACAAATGAGCTTTAAACGGCTGCGCTTGTATTTGTAAACATTTGACTAAATTACAAACTCTGTGGATGATCAATATTGTGAACAACTTTCGCAGGATCACTTTCGCATGTCGAGATGTTCATAATTGTGCAGGCGCTCATAGGCGCACGCAAAGCTTGAAGGTAAACAAACAACGGCTTATCATAAGCATCTCATCGATGATTATTTACACAGTTGACATTAAGAAGAACATATAAGTGTGATCTGACTAACTTCTAGCAGCTAAATGTGTCTGGAAAAATATTCAAAGGCTTTTATCCTCACAAACCGCGCGGACGTGAATGCGTCTGACTGTTGTGATTGGCTAAAGCAGACGTCTCACGTCAGCACGTTCTAGACGTGCACGCGCTTATTACGGCAATCTTCCTTCTGCATTCACACAGCGCAGCATTCCGGCAAATTGCCGGTAATGATACAACTTCTCTTTCCGGAAAATAGCCAGAACGAATTTACCAGTATTTTCAAAAAGGACCTGTTCACACATACAACCTTTCCGGAAAATTGCCGGCAATTTTCCGGAAAGGTCTGTATGTGTGAAAGGGGCTATAGTGAGGCGGCAGAAAAAAACGGGAGTGCTAGCATTTACAGCGAGGGAATGACATCCGATGCGGTACTGAGCTTGTTGTTGTCTTAGAAATAAGAAATAAGATATATTGATTACATATTATATATATTGTTTACATAATGCTTTCCGCATATTATAACAGCTCGTCACCCAGTGATAAGCACAGTGATTCGGCAAAATTACCGTTGAAGTGAGCGGCGTTCGTCTTACAGGTCCATTTGTGATAGCACCCTCCCAATGGATATTGGATACGACGAAATGACCAAGCATCCAGCCCCAAACATACAATCTCATTGAAGCTCCAAGTGATTTTAACAAGAGAGAAGTTAAAGGCCTACAAGTCTTTAGATGCCTACAGTGTTGTTCTGCTTGGTCATGTGCAGGAAATAATGATCCATGATGACCAGATTCAACACTATGTAGAGCTAAAAACCGAGATTCTGCCCAGCCAAAGACAAAGAAAGAAGACAGAGCTGTACAAGGCCTGGGTCATCATCAACAAGCAGAACTACTGCATTCTGAAAACGTTGCTTTTTGTCAACATTTGTACAATTGGTACTAAAGCAATAAAATCTTTTACGAATATGTAATAAATTTAGATTTATTTTCTTTGTTTGCAACGAGTTCATATTTCCAAGTACAGAAATGTAAGTTATTTTGTATAGATGTAGATGTACAGTGTAGTTACCACCGTGAATCTAAAACAGGTACTAGTGGTAGTGAATACTTTTTACTTAAGTACATTTTTCAGGCCGTACTTTTTTTTTTTTTTTTTTTTTTACTTAAGTACAAAAGTGTGATCAGTACTTCAACTTTTACCAGAGTCATTTTAAACAACAGTATCTGTACTTCTACTTAAGTAAAGTTTAATTCAGTTTAATTTACCATGTTTAACTGTTTTTACCAAAATCATTGCTGCAATCAAAAGCGAGTGATGTGTCTGATTCAGCATAGCGTGAACATGAGAACTACAGAGTCCAGCATTATTAATTAGATCCTCACTTCATTCAGCTCCCTTTTAGCCAAAGACGTCTGCGGTTGGCATTTAAAGCAGTGTGGTGTACGGTAATACGGAATTTGGCATCCTACCGCACAACACCACATGTTTACTATTGGTCTCTTTTTGCAACCGGGAACCCATGTGACATAGGTTGGTAATTCGTCTATAGAAAAGTATAAATTTTCAAGTTCTATACGTACATTTTTTTCTGTTCACACACTTTAATCCTGCTCACTATCCTGAGAGCTCAGCCATATTTACACACTGAAGCAGCTGATCAAGCTTTCATTCATTTTCCCCTGCTTATCCGGGGCCGGGCCGTGGGGGCAGCAGTCTCAGGAGTAGATTTTAGTGTCTATTGTTGCAGTATTAGTTCAGATTAAGTTACTTAATATGTAATTAATTAATAATTTATTTGTGTCATGCTTGTGTGTGATCAAATGCAGGGACTTGCTGGTGTTTTAATACGTCTTTGAGTAACAATGTCATGACATATACCGTGTCAGTATTATGAAGAAGCGAGTCAAGAAAGAGATGTTTAAAGTGTGCGCAGCTGTTATTAGCAGCGTTTCATGTGTCGTTTTAAAAATAAAAGGTCAAATCCATTGCATGGTCTGTTTCTTTAAGTAGTGCAGGTCGTGTATAGCTCATTTTGGCTGATATATTAATGTCAGTGGTGTAATTTAACTCTCATAAATTAATAATGCAATAAACAGTATGCAGTGTTCTGTTCAGTGCTGCTGGTAGTATATCAAATAGAGGTTTATTCGGTTTCCTAGAACATGTATTTGGATTGCCGTGCTGCAGTTCTTCACAGCACATTCACTTTCATGGGGTTGTTACTGTAGAATGAGCTCTGATTGGCTGTCAAGGTGGTCACGTTAGCATATCTGCTCAGTGATTGGCTGCTGTTGTGGTCTGTTTATATCTGCAGCTATTTTGGCCTGTGGTTCCTTCAGGAGCTCTAGAGAGTGTTTGACCTACACACACACACACACACACACACACACACACACACATCTACTGTTTCACAACACCACTGCTGTGTGTTGCAGAATATCATGACAGAAACTTCAAGATCTGTTCAGTTAATTAGTTTGCACATAATATTGATAAAATAAAATATTGAATATAGTAATACACCTGTATCAGGACTGCACAATATATTGTTTGTGCATGGATATCACAATCTGTGAATCTACAATAGTCACATGATCGGAGGAAGCTAAGCCATTTCAAGGGAATTTAAACCATTTGGACAGAAGAAATGATCAAGTTTGCCACTTTAACAAAGATTAACTGTATTTATTTATACAATGAAGACTGTAAAAAAAGTTATTTTACATTAGATTATTCAATTTCTGTACATCAATACTGTTAGACTCCGCCAAAAACAGTAAAGTGCTGTTTATTTATTTATTTTTTGTTTTATTGTTTTCATCAACAATTCAATTGATTTTATTCGATAAATATATTATTAAAATATTAATATTAAAGTAATAGTTTTTTTATTGAGTTGTGTACATTTTATGCAGATGCTCACCTCCCAAAAATCAGTCCAAAATTCTGAATTCCGCCCAAATAGTCTATCTATCTATCTATCTATCTATCTATCTATCTATCTATCTATCTATCTATCTATCTATCTATCTATCTGTCTGTCTGTCTGTCTGTCTGTCTGTCTGTCTGTCTGTCTGTCTGTCTGTCTGTCTGTCTGTCTGTCTGTCTGTCTGTCTGTCTGTCTGTCTGTCTGTCTGTATGTATGTATGTATGTACGTATAAATTGCAGAAATAAAAAATATTTACAATATTGTCCAGCCCTAACCTGTACATACATTTGTCAATTTGTATATTTTTATTCTTCATTTCCTTTTCATTTTTTATACTTTATTATCTGTATTTTTGTCCTGTCACTTTTATTCTGTTGCACTGTGGATACTTCTGTCACCAAAACTAATTCCTCATGTAAACTCACCTGGAAATTAGGCCTGTCCCAATAATCAATATACCTAATTATCACACAACACATGACCTCAATCATTTCTGGTCATGTTATACACGCACCGGCCACTTAATTAGGTACACCTATCCAACTGCTTGTTAACACAAATTTCTAATCAGCCGATCACAGAGGAGAATGGCCAGACTGGTTCCAGCTGATGGAAAGGCAACAGTAACTCAAATAATCGCTCGTTACAACCGAGCTCTGCAGAAGAGCATCTCTAAACACACAACACGTCCAACCTTGAGGCGGATGGGCTACAGCAGCAGAAGACCACACCGGGTGCTGCTCCTGTCAGCTAAGAACAGGAAACTGAGGCTACAATTCACACAGACTCACCAAAACTGGACAATAGAAGATTGGAGAAACGTTGCTGCTCTGATGAGTCTCCATTTCTGCTGACACATTCGGATGCTCGGCTCACAATTTGGCCTCAGCAACATGAAAGCATGGATCATCCTGCCTTGTATCAGCGGTTCAGGCTGGTGGTGGTGGTGTAATGGTGTGGGGGAGATTTTCTTTGGGTCCATTAGTACCAATTGAGCATCAACGCCACAGCCTACCTGAGTATTGCTGCTGACCATGTCCATCCCTTTATGAGCACAGTGTCTCCATCTTCTGATGGCTACTTCCAGCAGGATAACGCAGCATGTCATGAAGCTCAATCATCTCAGACTGGTTTCCTGAACATGACGATGAGTTCACTGTACTCAAATGGCCTCCACAGTCACCAGAGCTCAATCCAATAGAGCAGCTTTGGGATGTGGTGGAACGGGAGATTGGCATCATGGATGTGCAGCCGACAAATCTGCAGCAACTGTGTGATGCTATCATGACAATATGGAGCAAAATCTCTGAGGAATATTTCCAGTAGCTTGTTGAATCTACAACACCAAGGATTAAGGCAGATCTGAAGGCAAAAGGGGTCCAACCCGGTACTAGTGAGGTGTACCTAATAAGTGACCGGTCAGTGAATATCCCCCATACAGCCTCTGTCATCTCAGAACTTTCCAGTTTGGAGGTGTCAAAGTCAATATGGTTAAAAAAACACTATAGTATTTACTACAAAGTATTAAAGTATCCAATCATTCATTCATTTTCTTTTCGGCTTTACAATTAATCAGGGATCACCACAGCGGAATGAACCACCAACTTATCCAGCATATGTTTTACGCACCGGATGCCCTTCCAGCTGCAACCCAGTACTGGGAAGCACTCATTTGTAGTATTTAGTCTAAATAAAATGACACAGTATTCAATTTCTCACTCTCAGTACACACACACACACACACACACACACACACACACACAGACTACTCAAAATTTCACTTTCAGTACATGCATACACACACAATAACATACACTATTTTAACCGTACACATCTCCTTGTAGGTTGTTTATTTGTTGGGTCAATGTGACTGTATGTGTGCGTGTGTGACTGTGTGTGTGTTGTCAGTTCCTGCGGGTCACGAAGCAGTATCTCCCGCACATGGCACGTCTGTGTCTGATCAGCACGTTTCTGGAGGACGGGATCCGCATGTGGTTCCAGTGGAGCGAGCAGAGAGACTACATAGAGGCCACCTGGAGCTGCGGATACTTCCTCGCCACATGCTTCGTCATTATCAACCTTATAGGACAGATCGGTGAGACACGCACACACACACACACACACACACACACTGCTGAAGCTTTCACTCTCACTTCACTCACATACAAACACCATTTAAACTACACACACACACACACACACACCTCACACACACACACACCTCACACACACACACACACACACACACACACCTCACATTCTCACCACAAACACATCACCAAAACTTTCACTCTCACTTCACTCACATGCACACACCATTTAAACTATACACACACACACACACAAACACCTCACATTCTCACCACACACACCACTCAAGCTCTCACTTTACTCTCACACTCTCTCTCTCACACACGCTTACACACACTATTTACACCACACACACATACCACATACACACACCCCTCACACCCAATACACACACCATTTAAACTACACACACACACACACACACACACACACACACACACACACACCACTTAAGCTCTCACTTCTCTCTCTCTCTCTCTCTCACACACACACACACACACACACACACACTATTTACACAAACACACACACACACACACCTCACATTCTCACCACACACACCACTCAAGCTCTCACTTCACTCTCAGGGCTTACTCACACTATGCCATCCGTACCGTGCCCAGACCCGTTTCCCGGATCGTTTGAGAAGTGTGAGTGCGCTGAATCGGGCTCAAGCACAGTTCACTTGGCCGGCCCTGGCCCGGTTGGAAGAGGTGGGCCTGAGCGCGGTTCACTTGGGTTTTGGCACGGTACGCTTGTGTGTGAGTGCAAAACGCGCCAAAGCCCGAAACTGAAAGCGAGACTTGACTTTTAAGGCACTGTTTCATATGGATTTAATAAAGGGCCATGAAACCCCCTCGTTTCAGCAGGGTGTTTTCACTCCTCTACTTTGGAAAAAGTCAGAAAAGTGGGCGTGTCCAGCTCTGTTTAGGGGGGAGTGTCAGAGGAAGAAAAGTGGGATGTTGTGGGAGTGTCTATTTGGGCACGCGCGAGTTTCAGTCAAAATACACACACACACACACACACACACACACACACACGCACACACACGCACACACACACACACACACACACAGTAGAAAGTGATGGTGTTTAACCTACATGGACATCTGTAGTGGAATTATTTGCCAAATGATTAAATGGTGGACTTTAACTGCAGTTCGGCTCTTTCATTCAGGGAATTCATTCATGTCCCTCACGACAAACGAGATATTTGATTCGAGGAGCTGCTCTAAGCGTGTATTTTTCATGCAATGTTTGATACCGCACGGCGAATGAGAGAAAAAAAAACTCCGCATTTCCCGGAAACTTAGATGCACACGGCAGGTAGTGTCAGAAAGCCGCGTGTGTTATTCCGGTCACAAAATGCGTTAAAAACCCTACACGAGGTTAAAGTTTGGTTGTGGTGCTAACGTTAACGTGTTTACACTCGGTGCAATAGTTTGTTAGATACGAACAAACTGAATAAACAAAGAGCACTGATCACTCACTTACCAAATCTGTAGAGACAGGACAATCACCAGCAACTAGAGCCGCGTCTTTATTAAGAGGAGACTACAAGCGAATCCGGATCTCAGCGTGTGCAGATGAGAACAGCTCTCAGGTAAACAATACTCCTCCTTAGACACGTAAGTTATTGTTGTGGAGCGTCGCGTACACTGTTAATCCACACGTGACTCCAGCTGAGCTCTCACAGAGAGAAAATGAAAACAAAACTTCACTGCAGCAAACTATAAAAGCAGCACTTCACGCTTGTTTCGCCAACACAACGTGGCGTCTCTGCCGTCTAAACACTGTGACAGTAATGAATATTAATGAAGTTGCACAATAGAGCGCGCTGATTGGTTTAAACCAAGCCTTACTCATGCATTAATGCATCACACTGTAAGAAGTAATAAGACACACTCTGGCACAGACGTCCAGTCTGCACGCTGGAATACACGATATTATCTCATGACCGTGACGCAGCTTCAAAAATTAGTTTCAAACCGGAAGTACGAATTTGCTTGAAATAACGCAAAAACAACCAATTTACACTTTTTAGTGAAATATAGGTGTCCTTATAGTGTTTTTAGCAGTGTGGGACACATATACGACTGTCAACAGCTCAACACATGTGTTCTGGTGTTTCGTGACCCTTTAATCATTCTTACTGTTCAGTGAACGCAAACTGCTGTAGTTTATTAAAGACGCAAACCCCTCACTGCACGACAGCTGCACCTTCAGCAGACCTCCTCATTCCTGCAGCACGAGAGCTTTATGATGGTTATGAGAGTCAAAAGTGGCGGATCTGTTCGGTGAAATATCTGACTGCGTGTCCCCGCATCCCTAAGGACTGTTTGGCGAAATATTTGACTGCATAACAAACAACTGAAACGATATAACTAGAGAAATCTCCACTGTGCTGCTGAGTGAGAGAGCGCTTCTCACTGAACAGCGCAGCAGCGATGACGTAAGCGTGCCGAAGCCCGATTGTGGTGTGAGCGCGGGCCGTCGGGGGAGACAGGAGGGGGGACAAGCGTGCTTTGGCCCAGTTCGAGGCAACTGTACATAGTGTTAGTACGGCCTCACACTCTCTCTCTCTCACACACACTTAGGCCGTACTAACACTAGGTACAGTTGCCACTAGGTACAGTTTCCTTTTGCACTCACACACAAGCGTACCGCGCCAAAGCCCAAGTGAACCGCGCTCAGGCCCACCTCTTCCAACCGGGCCAGGGCCGGCCAAGTGAACTGTGCTTGAGCCCGATTCAGCGCACTCACACTTCTCAAACGATCCGGGAAACGGGTCTGGGCACGGTACGGATGGCATAGTGTGAGTAAGCCCTTACACACACTATTTACACCGCACACACATACCACATACACACACCCCTCACACCCAATACACACACCATTTAAACTACACACACACACACACACACACACACACACACACACACACACACACACACACACACACACACACACACCACTTAAGCTCTCACTTCACTCTCTCTCTCTCTCTCACACACAAACACACACACCACTCAAGCTCTCACTTCACTCACACACAGACACACACACACACACTTACACTATTTACACCACACATGTTTGTTTTTGTGAAAAGTGGGGACATACATAGGTTTCCATTCATTTCATACTGTCTAAACCGTATATTGTATTGCCCTCACCCCACCCCATCCCTAAACCCAACCATCACAGGAGACAGCGTGCAGCTTTACTCTCTGGGTGCGTTCACACCTGTGAATTGATTCAGTTGTTCTGAAACAGAGATTACAATCGTTACAGTGTTGCTCTTTGCTGTTGGAGCGGTTCGCTTTCACACGGCAAAGTTTCTAATCGGACCAAAAGAGCTAAAACAAGTCACTTGTGAGAACTCTCCTCACTTTGGTCAGAGTGTCAGGGTTTATTTTGCAGCGTCCCGCTCAGCTGTCAGGAGAGGTGGTGTTTGGTGGTGTTTGACAAGGTGTGCGCGACGTGTCTGAGGAGTGAGGAGAGATGCGGTGGGGAGGGGTGAGAAGGGTGCGCGACGATGCCTATTTGAGGATCGGGAGGGAGACGATAGATTACCGGGAGATCATCACTCGTTTGCAGGCATCCGGAGACTCGTGAAACTTCCCGCCCTGCTCATAATTCTCTCTTCATATAGCCGTATATACCTATTAAATATCCATAAAACACTGTGATATAACCGCGCTCGGATCAGATCACTTTCTCACTGCAATCGATCCGCTCCAGGGTTTGTTTCAATCGAGTCGAGACCACCTCATTCAAGCAATCTCAGAGCGATTGATTTGCCGCGGATCCGAGAGCGATTGGTGGTTTCACATATGCCAAACGAACCGCGCTAACTGGGCAAACGAGACGGGTTCCTGAACAAAAGTGCAGGTATGAAAGCCCTCTCTGATTAAACTCATCCTGTGGGATTTATAAGCGATTTGAGAAACGAGGACGTCACCAATGGCCTCATATTTCACCCCCTTTTTGTAATACCTGTGTCATACCCATGTCATTACACAGATTTGTGTCCTGATATGTCACAAAAACAGGTACACACACACACACACACATACCACATACACACACCCCTCACATTCTTACCACTCACATCAACCAAGCTTTCGTTCTCACTTCACTCACATACACACACTATTTAAACTACACACACACACACAAACCTCACATTCTCACCACACACACACACCACACACACGACACAAGCTCTCACTTCACACACACACACACATTGGCCTCATTTTTACCCTTGAACTAGTTGTGTAAATGTGAGCTATTAAAGAAACAGGACACTCATGTTCAGCTCACTTCTGCTGTTTTGAACAGTTTCCCCCATTCATCTCTCTCTCTCTCTCTTTCTCTCTCTCTCTCTCTCTCTCTCTCTCTCTCTCTCTTTATATATATATATACAAACACACACAAACAGACTGCAGTGGTTGCCAGTCTTAATCAGGTATTAGAGAATATAATAAACTATCATCATGAGCATGTTTTCAGCTGACTCCTAATTAAATATGTGTTGAAGAGGAGCAAACACGGGTTTACTGCTGCTGTATATGAATTATAATTTATTATTACAACCAGATATAATGAAAAGTACTCTAATAACCAATTAAATCACATTATACACACACCTGTATTTCATTTGATTACTCTTATAAAATACCCTTTAATTAAAAAGTACTGGATTATTATTAGAAAATATTCATTATAGCCACAAAACAAGTACAAATGAATGTAATGTGAAGAAAATTGGTGTTTATTAAGATGTTTATTTATTGTTATTAATTAGTTTAATCCATTAATACATCTGTTGACTTATTGCACTGATATTTAACACACAAAAATCATTTACTAACAAATAATATTCATCCTGAGATACGAGTGAGAATTTATTAAAGGAAATATTGATACAGAGAAAGATGAGTTATGAAAGGCCACTGTATTATGGAGAAACGGTTGGTGTCTGCACTGTGATTGACATTCTCCCATTGTACGTGTCATCAGAGAGGGAAAGCCCCGCCCACTAGTGCCCATCTCTCCATCTCATTAGCATAATCAGCAGCCCTGAGTGAGAAGCAGCCGTCTGTCCTTTAGCCATTAGAGTGTTTGAGCTGCTGAAGATAATGTCAGCATAGACTAAGAGGATTATAGATGTGGAGTTTTAGATGAACAGCGACAGGAGCCACATAGACTGACAGAAGCATCAAGCACACACTCACACTGAAGCACACATAACACACACACTGCTGTTTACATCTGTAGCTCCGCCCTCTTCTGAAAAAGAGCACAATCTCATTTGCATTTAAAGCGACAGTCAGCAAAACACCTCAATTAGGATCAAAACCTGAAAGGGTCAGTTTCAGAGAGCTGGAGAACATCATCTGTGAGCTCTTTTGAGCTCTCACACACACACACACACACACACACACACACTAGAGATATAATACATTACAGTAAGAAGGGATTTGAGTTTAGCAATACCTCGTTGTTTCAGATGCTAAGCACACATGCATATATTAACTCTATTCTCTGCTGTAGGTGGATGTGTCCTGGTGCTCAGTAGAAACCTGGTTCAGTACGCCTGCTTTGGCTTATTCTGCATCATTGCACTACAGGTGAGTGAAAATCAGTGTTGGTTAATGAGTTATAAAGTCTCTAGTTACTTGGATTTAACTGAAAATGTAAAGTTGGGGATTGCTCTTCATTTTAGGCCATTTCATTATAATTAGCCCATGATATAATATAATACCCAGATTTTCAGCCCATCAATGAGTTTATGAATGTGCTTCTGTAAATGTGTGTGTGTATATATATATATATATATATATATATATTATATTTGAATGTGTGTGTGGATGTTTCCACACAGATGGGTTGCGGCTGGAAGGGCATCCGCTGCGTAAAAACTTGCTGGATAAGTTGGCGGTTCATTCCGCTGTGGCGACCCCGGATTAATAAAGGGACTAAGCCGACAAGAAAATGAATGAATGTATATATATATATATATATATATATATATATATATATATATATATATATATATATATATATATATATATATATATATATATATGAATATATTCATTTTTACATTACTTTCAGTAATATTATTGAATAATATTCAAATGTTTAAATGATTTATTTACAACACAGTTTGTAAAGTTTTATTTTCTTTTAGTACAGTTTTATGCATAAGTTTGGGGCCCCTCTGTGGCTGCATAATTATTTTCTTTCTTTATAAGGGAAGATCACAGTGAAATGCCATTGGGTTTCTAGAGAAAGCTAGATCATGTCATGTTTTTCAGACAGAAATACGTAGTGTAGCAGTATCGAGATGTGTGAAATTAAATTGAAACTGAAAAATAGGCTGTGCAAAAGTTTGGGCACCCACTCTTTCATGTGGATTTCAAGACCTGTAGTCACTGAATGCTGACTGATTACAACACAGAATTGATTTGCGTGACTCAGTGAAGCTCAACAATCCTCACACAGCTACAACCAATCATGAAGAAGGATATTTATCATAGCTGAGTGCTAGATGTGCTTTTCCTTATTGTGAACCTGAAAATAACAACATGGAAACCTCAAAAGAACTTCCTAATGACCTAAACACTAGGATAATTCACCAACATGAATTACGAGAAGGATGCAAAGAGCTATCATAAAGGTGTAAAGCCTCTATCACCACAGTCAGAAATATAGTAAGAAAATGGAAGGCCACGGGATCAGTTCTTGTGCTGGAAAGATGTGCTAGACCTGGACAAATATCTGAGAGGGAAAGGTGAAGAATGGTTCGAATGGTCACTGATAGAACACCTCCACAGGGCTCCAGGAACATCTCCACAGTCCAGCACACTCTTCACACAGAGCAGCATAATGGAAGGTGATGCAGGTGAAGCCTCTTCTGCACTCTGTCAACGAGAAGAGTCGATTGAGGGATGCAAAGGCTCATCTGGACAGAAAAGTCTGAATCATTCTGGAGAAATATACGGTGGACAGATGCCACAACCATAGGTGCTTTGCATGGTGGAAAAAGAACGCAGCATTCCAGGAGAACCTGGTCAGAGCTGACGATAGCATGGGTTCCACCCAGAATCAGCAGATTCTGAAGAACAGAAATCAGTCAAGAGGCTGACGTTACTCCAGGGTCTGATGTTTCAGCACAGTTCCAGATCTACCAAGGAATTCAGGCTCAGACACTATAGAATGGCCATCCCAGTCCCCAGATGTGAACATCTTCCAAAATCTATGAATTGATTTGAAAAAGGCTGTTCATGCTCACCACCCATCAAACCTGACTGAACTGGAGGAATTCTGCAAGCGTCTGCAGGCTGTTATTCCAGCAAAAGGTGGCTCTACTAAAGATTGGTGTCATTATTCTGTTGGGGTGCATCTGTCTATTTGTGCATCTGTCTGGTTTTGTTCAGACTTAAATTGCATTAAATGTTATGGCAGAACTGAAATCTTGCTTTTTCCATAGGGTATAAGTTGGGCCAGACGGAATCTTCAGACATTTTTGCTATGTCTGCCCAGAATTTTGTTAAAAGTCTGCAGATTTATGCGGAATGATTTTATCATAACTAAAACCTTAATATATGAACTAAAAAGTAAAACCTTTTTAACTTGAATTCAATGTTTACAATGCAAATCCAATTAGATCCACTTTGGGCTAGAAATCTGCAGAATTATATTAAGGCCTACGTATATGATATATCTAAATGAATTTGATTTGAAAGGCCAGCAGGCTATGGCTTGCAATTTTGAAAATGATCAGGGGTGGCCAAACTCTTGCATGAGACTGTATTATATGATATTAGACTTAATTTGTTTACCAAACCAGTGGATCTAATTGGATTTGCTTTGTAACCCTTGTGTTCGTGTATTAAATCTGTTCAGACTGAAAAACTGTATTTCATGAACAGTAAAAAGGAGATGTTTTGCCAATTAATAGATAGATAGTGCATAAAATGTATCAAGCTATAGTTAAAACAAGTAAAACTGACAAAAACAGCTTATTAGAAGCAAGAAATATTTGATTATTATCATAAGCATTTCAGGCCCGGTTCAGAGAGTTAGTAAAGGAACGAGGAATATGCAAAATACAACTGAAAAACCACAATATCCATGTGTGTATTGAACCACGGACATCTTTAATATTATATTGAGTATTGCAGCATCCCTAATACATATCGGCACATGATCATATTAATAAGTGAGCTTTATCCGTCCTCTGTATTTCAGACGGTGGCTTACAGTATTCTGTGGGACCTCAAGTTCCTTATGAGGTGAGTTCAGCTCAGTGTGTGAATCTGCAGATCCTGAATGCTGTTACTAAATGTGTGTGTGTGTGTGTCAGGAATCTGGCTCTAGGTGGCGGTCTGCTGCTGCTGCTGGCCGAGTCTCGATCTGAAGGGAAAAGCATGTTCGCCGGTGTGCCGTCCATGGGTGAAAGTTCCCCGAAACAGTACATGCAGCTGGGAGGGCGAGTTCTGCTGGTGCTCATGTTCATGACGCTGCTGCACTTCGACTCAGACTTCTTCTCTGTGAGTCTCTCTGTGGTCATACACACTTATTTCACGTCACCTGCAAGACAAATAGGAGATATTTTAATACACATTTTCTGTGTGAATATGTAGTTAAATGTCATTTATTTTTATCAGTTATTAATGCATTAAATGTATTGTGTATTACTGCAAAAATAAATTACAAACAAAATGCAGATAAAAAAAATATCTGAATTTCATCTTGTGTGCATAAAAAGTTGGAGATATTATTTTCATTTGATATATGCATTTTCTGTGTGCTTTTAGTGAAATGTCATTTGTTTTAGCTGTTATTGATGCATTTAATGTGTTACATGAATTCATTAAATATGTAGAATTTTACTAAATATCTTTATAGATATTTCAGACTCATGCTCAGTCTGATAAACAATGCTGAAGTCAGATATTCTGCTGTAAACGTGTGTTACATGCTGGAGTGGCTGCCTTTGTTTTGGTCATTTAACCCGCCCACTGCCAGTTTAGCCAATTATATTACAGCACCCCGGGTTGCCAGATGATGAAAAACAGCGTATTTCATTCATTCAGTCATGAAGACTGTGACTGTGACTGAAATGCGAACACTGGTGGACAGTAGCAGACTCTGAAATGAGACTCAGATTCAGAGTTCCACATGAGGTGGTTATTGATTAGCAAATAATATAAATAATACGAGCGTAAACATGCAAGCAGGTTACACTGTCCTAACAACACACTACGTGATGAGATACGCAGTGATGAGCAGTTAGGCTGTATTGCAGCAGACAGAAACAGAACAGAAATGTAAATACAGCCATTCAGAAGCACAGAATAGTGCACTCACTGCACTCCAGCCAAACGGTGAGGTTTATAACGATGAATTGATTGTTTATGAATGGCTGTAATCATGAATGGCTGTAATCACGATCACAGTGTATATATCATAGACTGTCAAAGATATAGTATCAGTGACGTCACCCACAGGCTTCTGAAGAGCGCAAAAGAAGCTACAAGTAGGCGTGGCCAATAATCGTCTCTTTGTTCACGCTTCATGGCACCGACTACAGACGCCTGCTGGCATTCTGCTTAAACGGGCTTTTCTTTGGGAGAAACGCTTAAACCTTCATTACCTGCGACTCGTTTGTGTTCTGACCACATGTACTTGGCTTTATACTATAACACTAAAGTGTTTAGACTTTTAAAAACGCTGTTTGTGTGTGTGTGTGTGTGTGTGTGTGTGTGTGTGTGTGTGTGTGTGTGTGTGTGTGTGTGTGTGTGTGTGTGTGTGTGTGTGTGTGTGTGTGTGTGTGTGTGTGTTTGTGTGTGTGTGTGTCACTTGCTTGGTGTGTGTGTGTGTGTGTGTGTGTGTGTGTGTGTGTGTGTGTGTGTGTGTGTGTGTGAGAGAGAGAGAGAGAGAGAGAGTGTGATGCCTATGTGTATGTGTGTCACTTGCTTGGTGCTTGTGTGTGTGTGTGTGTGTGTGTGTTTGTTTGTTTGTTTGTTTGTGTGTGTGTGTGTCACTTGCTTGGTGTGTGTGTGTGTGTGTGTGTGTGTGCGTGTGTGTGTTTATACGGACAGCTTGTTATAGGCTGTCTGGACTCTGTTTAGCTGGGTGGTTTTTGGTTTGTTGTCCCCCCGCTCGTTAGCGGGAACGGGCGTGGCGGGTATAAAAGGGGGCGGGTCTGGCAGCAGGACAGCAAATGCTGAATTAAAGCGTGAGCAGTCGGGTTCAGGCTTAAACCTGGCGGGAGCGGTATTCAAAATTTTGTCCCGCACAGATCTCTACCTTAGACCAGGCCATCTCAGTTTACGACTGACTATATTAAAATAGTGTCATAAGAAACTGAACAGGAAATGACCTTATCATGTCTTTTTCAAGGACACAGCTGCTTAAGAACTTCAAATGTTTTTCATAAATATGTGAAGATTAAAGGGGAGCTAAATCTCCAACACTCATCATCACAGTGTCTTTTCCTGCAATATCTGAACATATACTCTGTGCAAAATCCTTTATAGATATCCAGTTCTTTGTAACGGTGGTCACACAAAAAATAAAAATAAAATATGTACACCTACATAAGTAACCCAAAGAATTATATGACTGAACACTAAAAATGAAAATATATATATATATATATTTACTCAGGTGAGGTTTGAACTGAGGTTGACGGCGTCGTAGTACAACATGCTGGCCACTGGACCACAATAGCGCTGTTATATTGCACCGTAAATTACTTTCTATTGATGGCTTAATCTTTTTTCTCCCCTTTTTAGATTTCTAATCATCTGATGTTCATTGAGCAGGTGTAATATTTATTAATGGTAATTATTTGAATTTTTATATTCACTAAGGTGCTGCTGTTTGCGGTCAGTTACCTCATCATTAACCTGCGGGCTGCATTCTCCTCACGGGGCTGCGAGAAAATAAATTAGAAGAGCGGAGCTGTTGCAAAATAATGAATAACAGAGTGAGGCAATGGTCAAATAAATAAATTTAAAAAGTGTGACTGCTGAGAGTGCAGGCAGCTAAAGACACCGGCCCTCCGGCCAAAAAACAAACCAGCCCACCGGGAATTCTCCCGGTCCTCCCGATTAGCCAATCCGGGCCTGATAGTCAGTGTGTTAGTAAATGCAAGGCTATTGATAAACTCCCGACATAACACTGAATGACAATGCTTCAGATGACTGATCTAGGTCCTACAGCTAATCAGTCTGTCAGATTCTGGAGTGCATTACAGCTCTAAAGAACATTATAGATGATCTTAAATAAAACAAATACATTTATAGAGATGGTATATGAGTGTTTAATTTCACTCAGCTGGGAAACGGAGGCCACGTAAACGGTTTGAGTGCACACCGCATGCCATATCATCTGATAATTGTAGAAAATAATCCCAAAAGGGAACTGACTGTGTAAAGAAACATAAAACACAACACAGAAATATAATCAATATGCTGAGCTCAGCGGCTAATCAGCCGGAATCTGCTGAAGGGACGTGACGGCGACCAGCGAGACCTAGCTGTCACTCAAGTGACCACGCCCTTAATTATGCAAACTTAATATAACTTAATATACGGATGAGTTATAAATCACCTCCTCACAGTTGTCATGAAGGGTAATATTAGCTGTATGAACCAAAATCATTCTGTGTAGCAGGCTGTAAACACATTTTCTGCTGTAAAGTCGGCCATTTTAACAGTCGGGTCAGAAATCTGCTCTGATATGGAGCCAGGAGTTGTGGAATTTCCATGAATTGCAGTTTCAGGTACCTCCGTCTTAGCTTTACAAGAGTTGAAGGGTGACGCTTGGTATATATTCATGGCTAATATCTGATGGCCAGAAAGTGATTCATTTTTAATAAATTGTTAAAATATTGCTGTCTCTGAGGCAGATGTGTACACCATGACTTTATATAAAAATGATTTTAATGTGTGATATGACTGAAAAAGTGGTCATAAACGAATATTTTCTTAATTTAACTGAGTAGCGGCTTGGACCTGGAAACACAGCCACAGCCGTATCACCCTGCAGCCCAAGAGCGGTTACTCACTGAAGCTAAGCAGGGCTGAGGCTGGTCAGTAGCTGGATGGGAGAGCACATGGGAACACTAGGCTGATGCTGGCAGTGGTGTTGGTGTGGCCAGCAGGGGGCGCTCAACCTGTGGTCTGTGTGGGTCCTAATGCTCCAGTATAGTGAAGGGGACTCTATACTGTCAGTGAGCGCCGTCTTTCAGATGAGATGTTAAACTGAGCTCCTGACTCTCTGTGCTCATTAATAATCCCATGGCACTTCTGGTCAAGGGGTGTAACCCCGGTGTCCTGGCCAAACTCCCTCAATCAGCCCTTACCCATCATGGTCTCCCAATGAACTGGCTCTATCACTGTCTCTCCACTCCACCAATAGCTGGTGTGTGGTGAAGCACTGGTGCTGTTGTCCATGATTGTGTAGCGCTTTAGGTGTATGGCCATACGCGATACATGCGCTGTGTAAATACACACATTACATTACAGAACGTCATGACTTCACAAGCAGATTGCTAACATGCAGTGTTGTTGTCCTGCAGATCCTCCAGAATATGGTGGGAACAGCGCTCATCATCCTGGTGGCCGTCGGCTTTAAGACCAAACTGGCTGCTCTGACTCTGGTAGTCTGGCTTTTGGCCATCAACGTCTACTTTAACGCCTTCTGGACCGTTCCGGCGTACAAACCCATGCACGACTTCCTGAAGTACGACTTTTTCCAGACCACATCAGTGATCGGGGGCCTGCTACTGGTGGTGGCCCTGGGGCCCGGAGGCGTCTCCATGGACGAGAAGAAGAAAGAGTGGTGAAGAAGAAGAAGATGTTCACTTCCTGTCCATCCGTCCGTCCTGCACCCTTGCTAGTGTGTGTGTTGGATTTGGGATGTGTGGATCCCTCATATTGACTCCAGTCGCAGCAGTAAACACCGATTCGTTTACTGGTTACGATTTCTGATCCGATGGACGACCCTCAGCCTGATTTCACTGTTTTCTGTTGATTGTATACGAAAAAATTATGATTATAATAATATTAATAATAAGTTGTTCTATTAATTTTTCAGACGTTTATATTGTATTTAGTTTTTTTTTTTTTTTTCGAATTTCAGGTCATGCTGAGAAATAAAGCAAAACCTCCGAATTATGGAAATGAGTTTCATTGTTGTGTTTTGGTATTCTTTTATTTCTTTAAATTCTACGTGAAATCAAAAATAACACATGCAAAGCAAAATTACCACTTGCTCTTGAAAATTTCAACTACACGTTTTCGACATCTAGTTTATGTGGGAAAATTTGCACATTTTGACATCTCTGGCTTCCATATAAATTACTCACGGGATGTTTTTTTCACCGAACGTGAATTTTTTGATCATGTTTTTTAATTTGTGACTTAGTATTTTCCAACAGTTTTTATATTTAGTTTTTTCGTTTTTCAGGTCATGGTGAAAAAATTAAGCAAAACTAACGAATTATTGAAAATAGTTTTGTCGCATTCGGATATAGATCAGTGTTTTTTAAATCAACATGAAAAAAACTTTTTCATTGAATATTGCAGTGTGAAGATAACGTGTGTGATCAACGTGAAATCAAAAACTTCTATTGAATATTGGAGTGTGAAGATAACGCATGCGATCAACGTGAAATCAAAAACTTTTTTATTGAATATTGGAGTGTGAAGATAACGCATGCGATCAACGTGAAATCAAAAACTTCTATTGAATATTGCAGTGTGAAGATAACGCATGCGATCAACGTGAAATCAAAAACTTTTTTATTGAATATTGGAGTGTGAAGATAACGCATGTGATCAACGTGAAATCAAAAACTTTTATTGAATATTGCAGTGTGAAGATAACGCATGTGATCAACGTGAAATCAAAAACTTTATTGAATATTGCAGTGTGAAGATAACGTGTGTGATCAACGAGAAATCAAAAACTTTATTGAATATTGCAGTGTGAAGATAACGCGTGCGATCAACGAGAAATCAAAAACTTTATTGAATATTGCAGTGTGAAGATAACGTGTGTGATCAACGAGAAATCAAAAACTTTATTGAATATTGCAGTGTGAAGATAACGTGTGTGATCAACGAGAAATCAAAAACTTTATTGAATATTGCAGTGTGAAGATAACGCGTGCGATCAACGAGAAATCAAAAACTTTATTGAATATTGCAGTGTGAAGATAACGTGTGTGATCAACGAGAAATCAAAAACTTTATTGAATATTGCAGTGTGAAGATAACGTGTGTGATCAACGAGAAATCAAAAACTTTATTGAATATTGCAGTGTGAAGATAACGTGTGCGATCAACGAGAAATCAAAAACTTTATTGAATATTGCAGTGTGAAGATAACGTGTGTGATCAACGTGAAATCAAAAACATTTTTATTGAATATTGCAGTGTGAAGATAACGTGTGTGATCAACGTGAAATCAAAAACTTTTTTATTGAATATTGCAGTGTAAAGATAACGCATGCGATCAACGTGAAATCAAAAACTTTTATTGAATATTGCAGTGTGAAGATAACGCATGCGATCAACGTGAAATCAAAAACTTTTATTGAATATTGGAGTGTGAAGATAACGCATGCGATCAACGTGAAATCAAAAACTTTTATTGAATATTGCAGTGTGAAGATAACGTGTGCGATCAACGAGAAATCAAAAACTTTATTGAATATTGCAGTGTGAAGATAACGCGTGCGATCAACGTGAAATCAAAAACTTTTATTGAATATTGGAGTGTGAAGATAACGCATGCGATCAACGTGAAATCAAAAACTTTTATTGAATTTTGGAGTGTTGCAGTGTGAAGATAACGTGTGCGATCAACGTAAAATCAAAACTTTATTGAATATTGCAGTGTGAAGATAACGCGTGCGATCAACGTGAAATCAAAACTTTTTATTGAATATTGGAGTGTGAAGATAACGCGTGCGATCAACGTAAAATCAAAACTTTTTATTGAATATTGCAGTGTGAAGATAACGCGTGCGATCAACGTAAAATCAAAACTTTATTGAATATTGCAATGTGAAGATAACGCGTGCGATCAACGTAAAATCAAAACTTTTTATTGAATATTGCAGTGTGAAGATAACGCGTGCGATCAACGTAAAATCAAAAGTTTTTATTGAATATTGTAGTGTGAAGATAACGTGTGTGTGATCAACGTGAAATCAAAACTTTTATTGAATATTGCAGTGTGAAGATAACGCGTGCGATCAACGTGAAATCAAAAACTTTTTTATCGAACATTGCAGTGCTGTAGTGTGCAGATAACGCGTGCGATCACCATGAAATCAAAAACTTTTATTGAATATTGCAGCATATTAATCAGTTTGTTTAAAGTCAACGTGAAATCAAAAATGTTTATTTCATTAAATATTGCAGTGTTTATTCTAATGTGTGATGATAATGTGCGAAGAAAAATCATCACTCGCTCTTGAACGTTTAAACTGAATGTAAAAAAAAACTGTCTAGACATCTTGCTTACATGGTAAAATTTGCACATTTTGACATTTAACTAATAATGACAAGTCATTATATTGATTTTTCAGAAGTTTTGTTGTTGCATTCTGATATTCTACAACTTCTTTAAAGTCAACATCAAATCAAAAACAATTTTTTTATTGATTATTGTGTTGTTTATTCTAATGCGCGAACATAACAGTCGCAGCAGTAAATGCCACTTTACCGGTTACGATTTCTGATCCGATGGACGACCCATCGATCGTTTTGATGTTACATTTTAAGGTGTTTTTTCTTATGTGCAAACATATCATGTGTGAAGAAAATCAAGAAGGTTTAAACTACATGTAAACAACTCATTCTCCACATCTAATTTATGTGGTAACATTTTCCCCTATTTTGACCTTTTTGGCTTCCATATAAATTACTCACGGGATGTTTTTCGCCAAGTGTGATTTTTTTTCAGCTCAAGTTGAATTTTTTTGAACTTGCGACTCTTGGTTTTCAGAGTATGGTGGAAAACAAAACCAGCAAATTAATAAATGAGTTTCATTGTTGCATTCTGATCTGTTTTTTTTTAAGTTAACGTGAAATCAAAAATGAAGTATTTAAAGAATATCGCAGTGTTCCAATGCACAAAAATAACACGTACGAAGAAAACTCACATCGTCACTCACTCTAGAAATGATCAACTGCATATTATCGACATCTTGTATACGTGGTAAAGAATTTTTTTTTTTTGTATTTAGTTTTTTTGCGTGTTTTCAGGTCATGGCTGAAAAATAAAGCAAAACCTATGAATTATTGAAATGAGTTTCATTGTTACGTTTTGAAATTCTTTCATTTCTATAAAGTCAACGTGAAATCCAAAACAAATTTTTAATACTATATAACAATGTTTATTCTAATGCGCAGATGTCACATGCGAACAAAAATCACTCTAGAGCTTTTAAACTACATGTAAACAACACGTTTTCAACATCTAGTTTATATGGTAAAATTAGCATATTTTGACTCTTCTGGTTTCCATATAAATTACTCACGGTATGTTTTTAGCTAAGCATGAATTTTTCGCTCGAGTTGAATATTGTTTTTTTTATTGTATTTGGTTTTTTTGGTTTTCAGGGCATGACGGAATAATAAAGCAAAACCAACTAATTATTAAAATGAGTTTCATTGTTATGTTCTGATATTGATCAGTTTCTTTAAAGTCAACATGAAATCAAAAAATTATGTTTTTTTATAGATTTTTGTTATTGTGTTATTTGTATGTTGTGGTGTTTATTGTAATGCATGAAGATGACACATGCAAAGAACAATCATTGCTCGCTCTGGAAATTTTCAACTAAAATTTCTCAACATCTTGTTTACGTGGTCAAATTTGCACAATTCAACTTTTGTGGCTTTCTATATAAAAGCCACAAAATAATAATAAGTTGTTTTATTGATTTTATGAAGTTTATATTGTATTATTATTGATTTTTTTTTTCGGTTTTCAGGTCACGGCGGAAAGATAAAGCAAAACCTACGAAATACTGAAATGAGTTTTGTTGTGTTTTGATATTTTTCCATTTCCATAAAGTCAACGAAATCTAAAATATTTTTTAATAGAATATTGCAGTGTTTATTCTAATGCGCAAAGAAATTACGTGCAAAGAAAAATCATTGCTTGCTCTAGTATATGTGGTAAAATTTGCATATTTTGATCTTTCTGACTTCCATATAAATTACTCGCGGGATATTTTTCGCCAAGTGTGATTTTTTCGCTCGAGTTGATTTTTTTTTTAACTTGCGACTCTTGGTGTTTTTTATATTTTATTTAGTTTTTTTTTTCGGTTTTCAGCGTATGGTGGAAAAAAGCAAAACCAGCAAATCATTGAAATGAGTTTCATTGTTGCATTCTGATATCTGTTTTTTTTTTTTAAGTTAACGTCAAAAACGAAGTATTAAAAGAATATTGCAGTGTTCCAATGCACAAAAATAACACGTACGAAGAAAACACATCATCACTCGCTCTAGAAAGGTTCAACTGCATATTCTCGACATCTTATTTACGTGGTAAAATTTGCACATTTTCACTCTTTTGGCTTTCAATTTAAAAGCCACAAAAATTAATAATAAAAAGTCGCTATACTGATTTTTCAGAAGTTTATATTTTAATTATGTTTTTTTAGTTTTCTGGTCCTGGTTAAAAAACAAGCAAAACCAACGAATTATTAAAGTTATAGTTATATTGTTGTGTTCTGATATTCTTCCACTTTTTAAAGCCAATAGCAAATTAAAAATACATTGTGTATTGATTATTCCGGTGTTTATTCTAATGCATGTAGACAACACGTCATAACATGGTAACAGTCACAGTAGTAAAGTGTGTAAAAACAGTGTCACAGTAGTAAAAACAGTGTTTTCTGTTGGTTACATATACGAAACATGATAATGATGATAATAAGTCGTTATGTAGAGTTTTGTATTTATTTGTATTTATTTTTCTGGTCATGGTGGAACAAAGCAAAACCTAAGAATTATGGAAAAGAGTTATATTGTTGCATTCTGATATTGTTACATGCCAAGGTGTTTAACGTGTGAAGATAACACAAAATTCGTCACTCAGTCTAAAAAGTTTAAACTACAGGTAAACCACACATTTCAACGTCTGATTTTAGTAAAATTAGCGT